CATTTATCTAGTATTTTTAGAGAACTGGCAAATTTATGTTCTGGAGCATCGGATTCAGAATGTTAATATCCTACTAAACACTCGTTAAAGCTTGAGATATTCCTAGAGCAACTGAAAACTTACCTCTAGTCTCTCAAAAATTGAAAATATACTCTCTTGCAGTAAGCAAATCCTTTTCATGTCAGTGTGGAATAGAGATACATTATTCTGTTTACACTCAAGGCCTGGTGCACGAAATTTGTGCACAGGGGTGGGAGGGTCCTTCAGCCAAGCCTGCACCCTCCTCTCCAATCCAGGACCCCTTGGGGGATGTCCTAAACTGGCAGTGGGACATCCCTCTCGCAATCCAGGACCACTGGCTCCTAACTACTCACCTGCCTGCATGCCTAATGCCCCTAACTGCTCACCTGCTTGCCTGATCACCCCTAAACCACCTCTTCCTGCCTGCCTTGTCTCCCCTAAGGCCCTCCCCTGCCAGCCTGGTCACCTCCAAAGTACATATGGCTGGGGTCCCTCACCATGGCCTATGCCCGCTCGCAGTCTGGGAGCCCTCGGGGGATGTCCTCAGGGGAGGAAGCCTAAGCCAACAGTCAGATATTCTTAGCTCTGTTATGGAGGTGGGAGAGGTTCCTGTCACTGCTGCTGCTCTTGTAAGCTGTAAGCCCAGCTCAGGACTTCTGGCTGAGCAGCACTCCGCCTGTGGGAGTTCACTGACCACCAGGAGGTAGCTCTTGCATTGAGCAACTGTCCCTGGTGATCAGTGTTTATCAGAGAGACTGTTGTTCCACTATTTGGTTGATTTGCATATTAGCCTTTTATTACATAGGATTAGTGTTTTCTGACTAATTTTTAAAAATAAATCAGAAAATGTCCTACTTATTTAATTGAAACTGAAAAATAAAATAAGATATAATTTTTATCCTTCAGAATAGCAAAGACAAGAGATTATAAATGCTTCCAAAGCTTCTAAAGAAAAGAGAAAGAGGAACATTCACACACCAGTGGCTGGGAGTATAAAATTATGAAAATTTCCTGAATAGTAATATAACATTGTATCAAAAATTATGAAAATGTTCACATTTTGGGCTCAGTAAATTCCACAATTTATTTTTAAAAAATCAGTAATGTATATAAATATTTATGTACAAAAATTCCCTACAGAATTTATACTGCAACCTAAATATCCAACAATAGGTAAATTATAGCACATTGAGATGTGTATCTTAATAAAACAGGGGAATTTTTATTTTAGCTAAGTTCTTCAATAATCCTGATTAATTTTTAAAAACAGAAAATAGTGTTAAATATGCTTGCTTTTTGGTTTTCATACTTATGAAGGATAAAATGATTATTTTAAAATTATGTACATGCTGGTTTTAGGCAAATTCTAGCTCTCAGTCTTGGAAACTGAGAACTTATAGCTTTAAGTTTGCTTTAGTATCTCATAATAGGAATCGGTGACTATTAGAACCCATTGGTTAACTGCACAGTACAACATTAGCATGAAATCTTGGCTCCTATACAAGAAACAATATAATAACAAAAATAAAAATTAGTGTGTATTACCATGCCTAGAGCCTACATTAAAAAAGAAAGGACAAGCCCAAGCCAGTGTGGCTCAGTTGGTTGGATGTTGTCCCATGCACTGAAAGGTTACCGGTTTGATTCCTGATCTGGGCACGTGCCCAGGTTTCTGACTGCAGGTAGGGACATGCAGGAGGCAGCAAATTAATTTATCATTCTTACATAAATGTTTCTCTCTCTCTCTCTCTCTTTCCCTATCTCTGTCTCTGTCTCTGTCTCTGTCTCTGACTCTGTCTCTGTCTCTATCTCTATCTCTACCTCTACCTCTACTTCTACCTCCATCTCTATCTCTATCTCTACCTCTATCTCCCTTCCTCCTTCCCCGTCTCCCTCAAAAAAAAAAAAAAAATCTTGGAGAAAAAAAAAAGACAGGACAAATCCACCCCCATCTCCCAAAAAAAGTTTAATGATAGTTATGTAAGGTTAGATGGGACAGGAACAACTAATGAAGGTAGAGGGGATAGTGCTCCCTTACCATGGTAATATGGAGCACAGAGAGCTTATAGTGATAGATGAAAATTTTTGTTAGCCTAAAAGGTAACTTTTGGCATACTAAGGTACAAGTAGTAAGACTCTGAAATACTCCATCTTTGAAGGAATAATTTAAATAATGAGTTTTAGAGCTTCAGGATTAAAAACAAGTAAGCAAAACAACATGCAAGCAAAACAAAATATCCATATTTACTATTGGGTTACCTAAAACAAACCACAAGAAAAGTAGAATTGGATAGGATGGCTTTTAATATCCTATGTAATCCTATATAATCAAAGCCTGATATGCAAATTGACTGAACAGCAGAACGACTGGTTGCTATGATGCACACTGACCACCGGGGGCAGATGTTCAATGCAGGAGTTGCCTCCTGCCCACAGGCCCCAGGCCAGCCAAGGCAGATGCCAGCGGGCTCCTCCCAGTTGCCCACAGAAAGAGGCAACCAGCAGCAATAGTGGGGGGTGGGGCCGGTGAGCGAGTGGCATCAGGCCAGCCAAGGTGGTGCCAGTGGGGGCTCCCAAATTGCCCCACTGGTCACCCCACAGATCAGCCCTGATCACTGGGCAAGCCTCAGGACCCTACCTGTGCAAGAATTTTGTGCACCGGGCCTCCAGTAATTTTTTTAATAAAGAGGCTTTAAAATGTATAACTGGCTCAAAAACCTCTAAAGAAACATGTGAAACAAACACATGAACACAAGAAATATAAAAACAAAACAAAGGCCACATATCTAGAAGAAAAGTTGAACTTTATCATCATTACATACCAAGTCAAACATCAATCAACTTCTATTAGTATAGGACATGTGACCTGAATACAGAAAATTTAAAAAAATTGTAAATTCTAATCCAAAGGAAGATTCTCTCCCACCCCTACCCTTTACATTGTTTTTAGAGAGATTATTGATAACAACACAAATTGACTGATTTGTAAACAATCCTCTAGGAAAAGTTCATCAGAGATTTTATATTTCTTCTACTTCCTACATCTGCACTGCCTTAAAATATAAGCGTTCAAAATAATGGCGGACTTCCAGGAAGGTTTATGAATATACTAAGAAAAAACATATTTAATTAAAAGCAGTTTTCAGATTAACACTTTTATCTTTAAAAAAATTAACAGTTGGGTTTGTTTTATTTATTGCCTTTATGGGGGTGAAAAAAGAGAACACGGAGATGGAGAATTTTCCTTCCCTCCCTCCCTCCCTCCCTCCCTCCCTCCCTCCCTCCCTTTCTTCTTTTCTTTCTTTTCCTTTCTTTTTTGTTGATTTCAGAGAGGAAGGGAGAGGGAGAAAAATAAATAGAAGCATTAATGATGAGAGAGAATTGGTTGCCTCCTGCACACCCCACACTAGGTACATGCCCCTGCCCGGAATTGAATCTGGGACCCTTCAGTCCACAGGCCGATGCTCTATCCACTGAGCCAAACTGGTTAGGGCCTACCCTTATTATTATTTTTTTAAATTTTCCATTGATTTTGAGAGAGAAGATGGGAAAGAGAGAGAGAGAATCATCAATTAGCTGCCTCCTGCACATCCTCTATGAAGGATTACGCCTGTGCCCTGACTGGTAATCAACCAGAAACTTTTCAGAGAATGGGAAGATGCCCAACCAATTGAGCCACACCAGCCAGGACTGTCAGCTAACCTTATTGAGCTGACAACAAAGGTAAGACAGAGCAACAGCCTTGGAGGAAAAACAATTGCAAACAATGCAATACTTTCAACAATAAAGATTTTAAAAACAGTAACAACAAAACACAAAGCAGTAGTGTATCATTATATAGTGACTCACTTAAATCAAAAGCCTTTAGTATAGACCACACCACAAATGCCTGGCACTACCAATTGCAAAATATTTACCCTTGCACATTTTAATAGTTATAATTCAGAATCTTATGTCCTGTCCATCTCATTACTTGACTAGATTATAGTTAAATACCACCTTTAAACTAAAATTTTGTATGAACACTACACAGTAGGAAGATGTCTATCACCAAGGAATGTTTTCTAATGATGAAAATTGCATTTAGTATTTTAAAAAGTAGAGAAAAAAATAGTAGACATTTTAAATGGTACATATATAAATTTTAAAAATTCTAGGTTCCTTTAGTGGTATTTTTATCTTTTGGGAAAATGTAGAAATTCCAAAGCAACTCTTTTCCCACCTCACCTAAAAAAAAAATAAAATAAAAAAAAATAAAATAAAGAAATTTCCCATCCCTTGGGGGCAAGGGACCAGTGTCTTTTAGACCTTCAGGTTATTTACTCTTACTTTCTATTACACTCTGAAAAGCTTGGTTTCCTGGTTTTCTAGATGGAAGCAAATATGAAGCAGCAAATCAGCGGAAGTAAAGAGCGACTAGAGGAAGATACAATGACAGTAGAAAGTGACAATAAGGAGGAAGATTCAGTACAGAAATCTATACCCTGTAGTCCAAACACAAACACCAAAAGCATACACTTACTTGGAAAAGAAGCTCCTCAGGGCATCACTGTATTGATTTCAATGTAATAGTTCACACCCCTCCAAATCTAATCTTTTCAACTGTCCTCTGTAACATCTCTCCTCCCATTTCCTCAGAATCTTGCTCCATGAATCATCCTCTCTTCCCTGCCATACTTTGACCCTTTTCTTGCCTATGGACTCCTTCCCTTCAGAAAAATTCTCAAATCTCTTACAAGTAACACAAAAAGAGCCCTTCTTTCACACCAACACTCTCCTCTAGTTACCTTCTTGTCCTTTCTTTCAGAGACAAGGTTTTGGAAATAGTATCTACCTGCTAGCTCCCCTTCCTCACCACTCATTTATCTTCTAAGCTACTGCAACACAATGGTCTTCTAACCACCGACTCCACTGTAGCTGCTCTCACATAAGTCACTATTGCCCTCACAACTGCCCATCTACCAGCTTTCTACTCTTACCTCTGCTGACCTCTCCAAGACAACTTGTTCCAACTTCCTCTTGAAAACTCCCTCTTTGTTTAGTCTTTGGTGCCACACTCACTTTGATTCTTCCACCCTGGGATGTCAATGAAAATGTATGCAAAAAAAAGGGAGGAGGTTCATGATCAAATAGGTTTGGGAAATATTCTATTAAAGTTAAATGGTTTCTTTTCTAGGGATTTCTCAAATTTCTCACGTAAATACTGATGTGAATTGTGAATCTACAGGATGGAGTTCTGCAGTGTTTCCCAAACTTGCCTTGCTCTAGAATCTTTCCCTTATAAAGAACTATCTTATATGATAAATTAATTGAGGAACATATTTTGGGTAACATCATTTTTGATGTTCTCTTTCAGCCTTATCTGCAGAATCTTCCTCCTCCTCTAGCCTCTCAAATGTCTAAGTTCCTCAAAAAGTCAACTTTTAGTGTTTCACTCCTCGCAGGTCTCACCATATACATTCATCATAAGTGATCTCATTCATATTTTCATGGTTTCAACCTAGCTTTAGATTGACTCTGACTGACTGACACTGTGTAAATTAGGAACAATAATAACAAATTCATAAGGACTAAAATATGTGATGAATATAAAAATATAAATACAACATATTTACACATTTAAGCAAAAGCTTAATAAATAATTAAATCATTTATTCTGTCTCCAGCCTAGATCTACCTTACTGAGCAATAAAAATATATTGATCTAACTTGGGACTTCCCCTTGGTTTTTGCAAATATACCTCAAACACAAGATGTTCACTTCCCACTCTACCACCTGGGCCCTGCACACTCTAGCTCAGTATGGACTCTTCGCCCAAGCCTGAAACAACGAAGCCATACTCTAGACCAGTGTTTTTCAACCTTTTTTGGGCAAAGGCACATTTGTTTCATGAAAAAAATCACGAGGCACACCACCATTAGAAAATGTTAAAAAATTTAACTCTGTGCCTATATTGACTATATATAAAGTAATTCTCTTGAATAGGAATCAAATAAACACAAAGAAAGTATTTTATAATTACTTTATTATGAAATATTAAGTAAACAAAATAGTGAAAAATTATAAAATTCTTGTTTTGTCTGCACCTACGGCACACCAGGCAACATCTCGCGGCACACTAGTGTGCCGCAGAACAGCTGTTGAAAAACGCTGCTCACTCTTCCTTTTCAATTACTGTCCTTCTCTCTGGTCACCAATTTAGTATCCAAGTATTTCTGGCTTTTCTCCAGTGCATTTTCAGATGACTATCTTTCTGAAGTACAAAATCTGATCACATCACTCTTCTGCTTAAAATTCTTCAATATTTCTTCATAGTTTTCAGGATAAAATTCAACCTCTTAATGTATCATATACAGCTCCTTATGATCTGGCCTCTTAAGTCATCTCCCTCCATGCCCTATTCTCATATGCACTCTCCACTCCAGTCAAATAAAATCATGTGTATGTCTACAAATTGTCACGACTTTACACATTCTATTCTTCTTTCCATAAAGTCAATTCAACCCCACTCCCACCCACTTTATTTCTGGTTAATTTCAAATGGTCCTTTTCATGAATTTAATTATATGTTGTTTGATTCCTATTCTTTAAATTTTAACTTTAACAAATGTGTAACACAGCCTATAAATTTAACTATTCATTCTCAACCTATTTAATACTATAAAATACAAGCAATTCATCCAGTATACTTAGGTAAAATTGTCAGCACCAGAATTGTCTTATTTTAGTAACGAGGAAGATAATAATTATATGAGATTAACATTCCTTCATCAATATATACAGGGTATCCCCTCAAAATGTCTATATACTTTGAGTGACTATAAATTCAATATTTTATTAACATATAATTAATAAAATACATGTTCAAAATTTTAAAAACATCTGTAGAAATGACCTTTTTTTTTTTTTTTTTTTTTGTCAATGCCTGTTTTCAAACTGATGATCATTCTGATCCAGTCACTGCTGATAACGTGGAGCAATGGAATAGAAAACATCAAGAATAATTTCCTTCAGTATTTGTGCACCTTCATTCATCTACTGTTGCCAGTTTTGTACCATAAACTTTATCTTTTATGTATCCCCATAAAAAGTCTAGTGGCACTTTAGGATACATTTTCTCTGTTCAAAGTTTAGTCTGGCTTTACCCATTATTTCAAATCAGTTAAACCTGAAAAGGAGTAAAAATTAAGTGAGTTATCAGCTGTTAAAATATATACAATTTTTGGGACACCCTATATTTATTATATTCTGGACACTAAGGAAGTTTCAAATAGTGAACAAGAAAAGTTTCTGACATCAGTCTAATGGGGGAGTCTCACCCTTAAACAGGGAACTCCAATATAATGTTATAAAGATATGTATATGTATAAAATTTCTGAGAAGGCAAAGAAAGAAATAACTAACTTATGTAAGGTAGTTTCAAACAAACATTATAAGAAAAAGTTCCAAGTAAAATTTTTTCTCCCTCAATCAAAACTTGTCCAATAAATATCAAGATAAATTTGAGTTCTATTACTAGGATAGCCACATATACCAGGTTTGTACACCCTATTTAACATCCGTTGCATGTGAAATAAATACTAGCATCCCCTTTCATTCTCATTATTATCCTGGTTTGGATAATAAATTATAAGTACACCTTATTTATCACCCACTAAAAACAATCTTTTCCACTAAAAACAATCTCAATAATTTATTCATTTCATCTGAAGTGGTTTTTTTCTATCACTTAACATATTTAGGGGTTAAAGAATCTAATTTTTAAAGTACGTTTGTGTGTTTTTTAAAATATATTTTTATTGATTTCAGAGAGGAAGAAAGAGGGAGAGAGAGATAGAAACATCCATGATGAGAGAGAATCATGGATGGGCTGCCTCCTGCAAGTCCTTCACTGGGGATCGAGCCCACAACCCAGGCATGTGCCCTTCACTGGAATCAAACCTGGGACCTTTCAGTTTAGAGGCCAACACTCTATCCCCTGAGCCAAACCATTCAGGGCTAAAGTATCTAATTCTAACTAGTCTTTGAGATGGATCAACTCAAAATATTCTTCAGTTTTACTCTCTCTGGTTTCCTCTTGCCCCCTCATATTTGCTGTGAAAGGAGACTATCTCCCTCAGCCTCTAAATTAAAAAAAAAAAAAAAAAAAAAAAAGTGGTAGAGGCATTTAGGAAAGGTAGGAAACAATAGATAAAATCTATGTTAATTTTTCATGGCGAATACTTTTTTGAGAATATATCTCAAAGTAAAAATAAATAATTCAATTTAAGCCTATAAAATAGTAAACTAATGAATTCTTTATCTAGCCAACACAACATATTTATTTTAAAATGAATGTTATCTTTAAAAAATAAAAATAAAATGAATATTCTCCTCAAATAATCATTTTGAGAGGTTCTATAATATCCAACTACTTGAAACATTTTTGGACTATCTGCTTGGATACTTCATGACTCACAAATATTTATCTCACTAATTTATGGACAAGCATATTTTCCCTTTATTTATTTCACAAAAGTTATTAATTGTGTGAATACAGGTCCATGGCATAGAGCTCCCTTCCCTGTTCTGCATCTCCCTGCCAAATCCCTAAGACAGTATTCTGATGTGCCATCTGCTCCATGATTATGCACCAGCCACTGTCCTGCAGCTTTGAGGGTGGGGACTGATTATTAAAAGACAAGATGTTTTGGATTGTTTAATTTTTATCAGATATGGATGTAAATTATTCTTGGCTTTTCCAAAAAACAAATTCACCTTCAAAGGAAGAACTGGAGATATTTAAAAGAACTGAAGGCAATATCAAAAAGGAGCTCAAAAGATACTAAGTTAATGTTGCATCATTTGCACAAGTACACTCACTGTCTACTTTCCTTAGGAACTAGCCAACAGTCTTTCAAATATATACCAGTAAGCTCTTTTATATTTATTATAAGAACTATTCTTATTACTCTACATCCTGGAACTCCTTAACTAACTGAAATCTTCCAAATAAAAACTAACAAACAAAAAAAATTAAGAACTAGAACCAAATAGACAACTCTTCATCAACATCTTACACATTTTCTTACTTTAAAAAACTCTAATCCTCTCCAAGACTGCCAATCAATCATGTAATTTTTCCTAAGTTTTTCATTAACAGTTTTTCCAAACCTCTTTTAGCTTTAGAAGATTTATTATTAAAAACTAGAGGCTTGGTGCACGGGTGGGGTCCCTCGGCCTGGCTGGCGATTGGGACAATTGGGGCCGTTTTCCCAGTCCCAGTTGAGGCCAATTGGAGCCAGCATGGGGGGAGGACCAAGGGAGGTTGGCTGGCTGGAGGGAGGGACCGTGGGAGGTTGGCTGTGTGAGCACACTGACCACCAGGGGCAGCTCTTGCATTGAGCATTGGTTAACCGGTCGTAATGGTTGCTTAGGCTTTTATATATATATATACACACACAATATATATATATATATATATATATATGGTAATCTTTCTTACTGTAAAAAGGGCTTAAGTTGAAGTTTAGATAAAACTTTTTTTTAATAGGAAATTATAAAAATCTCTAATTAGGAGAATAAATGTCTATGTATCTTTCTATTTATCCATACCTATTCTCCTTTTACTAGCAAGCCATATTCCCAGATGTCATGGCAATATTTGTACAGCTATAATGATACCAAAATCAATTACCATTAGACCTAGTTCCAGAACCATAGTAAGATTTTAAAAACCAAACAAAATGAAATAGGGTTCAGCAGCTGAATTTACCGTATTTTTCGGACCATAAGACGCACTTTTTCCCCCAGAAGTGGGGGGGGAAAGTCCCTGCGTCTTATGGTCCAAATATAGCCTACACATATACTTTAAAAAAAAAGTTTTTTTACTTGCCTGGCTCTGTGTGGTCTCTGTGTGCTTGCCCAGCTCTAAAATGGTTCTAAATGCTGCTGTTTACTTTACAGGGTTGATTACATGTGTTTATGACTGTGATGTTGGGTTTTAATGCACATAAAATATTTTAGGACACTATTTGTTTCAGAATCTTTTTTTCTTCATTTCCCTTCTCTAAAAACTGGTGCGTCTTATGGTCCG